GTCTCTCCTGCCCGGGCTGGCTTTGAACCGAGATCCTCAGATCTCAGCCTCCTGAGTAGCTAGGATTACAGGCGTGAGCCACCAGCGCCCGGCATCTCTGAGCTTTTCACTCAAGGCCATCATTTACCAGTTTGAGCTACAGCACCACTTCCTGTTTTCTGGGGTAAATTGGAGATTAGAGACTCACAGACTTTCTTGCCCCGGCTGGGATGGTGGCTGGTTTTGAATCACAATCTTCAGCTCTCAGTCTCAAGAGTGGCCAGGCTTACAGGTGTGAGCTACTGGCGCCCGACTAGTTGATCATTTTTTTAAAAGGCTAGAGGTGCATACCAAGGCAGTAATTCAACTCTTCTGCATATTTATAAGGTTGAATTTTCTCTAATAAACAGGCTGTAATATGTGCATTAAAGACTTTTACCAGATGGAATAATAGAGATCAAACATCTTCCTTCCTAAAACAATAATCATTCCTACCAAAAATGCATGGAACAGTTGTATGTTGGTTTTTTGTTTCGTTTTTGATACTGGACTTCAGGTAATGAAACAGTTATCAAGGCTGAATTAATTAATTAATCGATTTATTTATTTATTGCCAGTTCTGGGTTTTGAACTCAGGGCTGGGTGCTGTCCCTGAGCTCCTTTAGGTTCCACCTGAGTTCCTTTAGTTCCACTTCTGGCTTTTTGGTAGCTTAGTGGAGATAAAAGTCTCCCAGAGTCCAGCGCAGGTGGCTCACACCTGTAATCCTAGCTATTCAGAAGGCTGAGATCTGAGGATCGCAGTTCAAAGCCAGCCCGGGCAGGAAAAGTCCATGAGACTCTTATCTCCAATAAAACACCAGAAAACCAGAAATGGTGATGTGGCTCAAGTGGTAGAGCACCTCCTTGAGCTGAAGAGCTCAGGGACAGCGCCCAGGCCCAGAGTTCAGGCCCCACGACCAGACCCCCCCCCAAAAAAAAGAAACCCAGGCTGCTTTACCAGTCACCCAAATCACTCTCCAGTAATTATTGAAGACCTGCTATATACTAGAGATTTCATGTACATGTGTGCTCTTTCCAGTAAGCATTGCAATCAGTTCTAAGTTGGTGGGAATAACTGTTTCACAGGATCACATGGAAACATCCTCTAGAGATTTAGATGGCAAGTCAAGTGGCAAAAGAAGAAGACAGTTAAGAACTATAGGAATGTAAAGGGTGTGAAAGGTAAATTTGAATGTGTTTTAGCTAAGAAAGAACAATCTGGGGGGCTGGGGGTTTAACCCAGGGGAAGGGCACCTGCCGGTGGGCGGAAGGCCCTGGGTTCGGTCGGCCCTGGGTTCTGGGTTCGGTCCTCAGCCTTGGGAAAAAAAAAAAAAAAAACAATCTGTGCCAAGAAGTGGAGAAAGAAAAGACTTTCCAGGTTGTAGGTTTTGATGGGAGATGGGAGTGGCAAGATTAAAACAGTAGCAATGTATACAGGGACTTCCAAGCTAAGGTAAGGAGATGATGCTTAGGTCTGATGACATTAGAAAGATAAAAATGTTTTTGAAGAGGAAAGAAATGTACATATCACCTGATGTGGAACAAACTGTTGTATTGCCAAAGCTCATAGAATTTACAAACTTTATAGACCACAATAATAACAATTTGCCTTATGAAGGTTAGAATGTGTTTATGACTTTAAGTATTCTCACAATACTGTGAAATTTATGTAATCACTTAATCACGATAAAAATTATTTTTAAAAAAGCTGAATGTAAAAAAACGTTTTTGAAGCAAGAAGGATGAGATGACTAGAAATAAGATGATCTTGCTGTCATCCGAGAACTGTATGTAAGCAATGGAATGACCAGTTAATGATATTACAATAATATAAAAACAAAGTCTTCACTGGGTACTGGTGGCTCATGCCTCTATTCCTAGCTATTTGGGAGACTTAGATCTAAGGATCACAATTTGAATACAACCAGGGCAGGAAAGTCCATAGTATGTTTGTCTCTCACCACCAAAAAGTTGGAAATGGAACTGTGGCCTAAGTGGTAGAGCACCAGCAGTGAGTGAAAAAGCTAATAGACTGCCCAGTGAAGGGTTGACTCCAACCTTATTCCCCCCGAGCAGGCAAAGCACTAGGTTCCTGCTTGTTCACAGGCTAGTCACTGGCAGGGCATTCCACTTTGGGCCTGGCCAAGGATGCCGCTCTTGGCCCCCAAGAGACCATAGCCCATTTTTTAAATTTTCTGCTTCCTTAAGACCCATATAAACCTGGCCCCAAATCCAGTCCCTTGCACAACCTCCAAACCCCCAGGAAGGTCTGTGTCCCTTGCTGGCAATAAACAGCCCTAGCCTGTTGACAATTGAGTCTGGTCTATTCCTTTTTCATTCCCCTCCTCTTTCCTAACACCCAGCCTCCTCTTGTCTTTTGCAGCAACACAGATGGAACTAAATGATACCGTGTTAGAGAAATAAGCCAGGCACAGAAAAATAACATTGGTCTCCTATGTAGAAGCTAAAAAAGGTTTTCTCATAAAAATAGAATAATAGTGGGCACTAGAGGCACTAGAAGTATTAGGAAGAGGAACAGAAAGGGAGGCTGGATAATGAATTATAAACAACAACAACAAAAACTAGGGGAGTCAGGCACCAGTGGTGCATGGTCACAATCCTAGCTACTCAGGAATCTGAGATCTGACCATCAAGGTTCAAAGCCAGCCTGGTAGGAGTCTGTAAGATTTTTATCTATCTCCAAATACCAGAAAACCAGAAGTAGCATTGTAGCTCAAAATTGTAGATTCCACACCCAAACCCTGAGTTCAAGTCCCATGACTGACAAAAAACAAAAAAACCCAGCAAAACTAGGAGGGTGCCTAGCATGTGGAAGTACCTGGGTTTGATCCATATCACTTGAAAACACAAAACAAAAGCCTTCCAGCACATCAAAAATATGGGTATTGAAAGATTAACTGAAAAGAGTATTAGGCTTAGCCAGAGAACCACACAGACATCCAGGTACAGAGAACAAAGAAAGGTTTATTGTGGGGAAAGGGGGCTGGCAAGACTCCTTCTCACAAGGGAGAAGTGAGAAGAAGCACTGGCTATTGTCTGCGGTGACCTATAGAACCTAGGAGGCTTAGGAGGGGCTCGAAGGGGCTAGGAGGCAGAGACCCTGGTGTAGACATGTGGGCCACAGGCTTCATCATGGTGGACTCTGATTTATGGCTGCTATCCAAATAGTAGATAAGGGGTCCTGCAACTGTGCAGACCTGAAGGTCACTCTAAGGAGCTCTTGTTGCCCCAGAGAAGTGCCATCCCAAGGTAAAGAGGGTTGGAAGTTGATTATTTACTGCCTTTACTACAAGGGCCTAGTGTTGCCTAGGAAGGGAGCATGCTAAGCTGCGGAGAAGGGAAGGAGTAGATAAGCTATGGGAAGGGAGCGCATTTCACTAACAGGTATCATGTATCAACTATAATTACTTATGTGTGTGTGCAGGTCCTGATGCCTGAACTCAGGGCCTTGGCACTGCCTCTAAGCTTTTGTGCTCAAGATTTGCACTCTACCACTCAAGCTACAGCTACACTTCTAGCTTTTTGGTGGTTAATTGGAGAACAAGAGTCTCATAGACTTTCCTGGCCTTGACTAGCTTTGAACCATGATTCTCAGATCTCAGCCTCCTGCATAGTTACAATTATAGGAGTGAGCTACCAGCACTTGGCTCAACTATAATTTTTGAAAGAGTATTACAATAATTTTCATAGTTAAGA